TTTTTTTTTTTTTTTTTTTTTTTTTTTGGAGGTCACATTGGGGTGGGCGTAGTAGATGTCCCCACTTCGTTCTCAGGTTCTCTGGCAAGGACACTTGGTTTCCCCGTGTAGGAGCGAGATTATTTCCTCGTCAAGTCTTTTGCAGTTTCTAGAAAGCAACACACCCACTAAACGCCTCCCCGAAAGCCATTTTTTCCCCTGGTTTTCCATGTAGATAGCAGCCAGGGGGATGCCTTGGTATTACGAGTCACCGAGGGGCTGCCGGTGTTGACGGTCACAGCCTGGAAGCGGGGAAGCTGTATCCGGTGCCATTCTCCTCTTTTAGCCGTAAGATAGTCGAGGGAAAAGGGGGCAGCGAGTTCCGGGACTAGCTAGGGCCGTTCTATAATTACGGAAAAGCGACCCCCAGGTCTGGGAGCGCGTGGGAAACTTTAATACGTCAGTGGGATTTCCATCCCCCAAACGTTGTCACCTTCCCGATCTTTCCACTTGGAGTTCAGCTGTCCTTATTCTGTGCTTTCGCAGAATCCTAGAAGCCTACTTGTCTTCATTCTGCTTTATGTCACAGGCTCTGAACTCCTCCCTCTGCGCTCTGGATTGTTTTTCTCCACAGACCTAAGTAAACCCACTGTAAGGATGGTCATTCTTATTCTTTCATTAAGTTGTTCCTTTATCTGGGCACTGAAGGGATACGTGAAACAACGTGAAGAATATTTTTTGGTAATGCCTTCAAACTCGGGGTCATCTTGTTTAACTTCTTAATAGGAAAGCTTGAGTGAAATAAATATTGTCTTTTTGTATGTCACCCACGTGTTTTCCTGTGGTCTCATTTTGGGGTAACGTGTCGTAAGGAGCGTGTGGTGGAAAAATCGGAGTTAAAAGAATAGATGTTGTGGGAAAAAAAAAAAACGAAGACAGTGATTTTTGTCTTACAGCCACTTCTCGCAAGCTTCCCTGCTGTTCTCGGGATGCCTGTGTTTTCTTTCTTTTTCTTTTTTTAATGTTTATTTATTTTTGAGAGCGAGGCAGAGCGTGAGGCAGGGGAGGGGCAGAGAGAGAGGGAGACACAGAATCCAAAGCGGGCTCCAGGTCCCAAGCTGTCAGCACAGAGCTCGACGCGGGGCTCGAACTCACCAGCCGTGAGATCATGATCTGAGCCGAAGTCGGACGCTCAACGGACTGAGCCACCCAGGCGCCCTCCCCCCCAACCTTTTTTTAAGGAACACCTGTGTTTTCTAATAAGAGCATGCACTCAGTTTACTACGAGCACAGCCTGTGCAAGCGGAACCTAAAGGGACAGAAGTATTTGATAAATCGTAGTTCTGATAATTAAGGGAAATGCACCCTTTGGGCTGCTGCGAAGCGGAGGTAGGAGGCCCGGGAGGGGGAGTGGCTCCCCACGTGACAAGAGTGTGGCAGCTGGTGCCACAGGCGCCGGGGAGGCGGCATCACGGGGCTGGCAGCTGAAGAGGGGCTCCACCAGCCGTCGTCCAACCCCAGGACGGAAAAATAGGTCATTGCCAAGAACAAGAAGGGGGCCTGCTCTACCGGCTGTCGCAGGTCTCCATCCTGACGTACACAACCCGGTGGTTCGTGGTGAAGCAGGGCTACCGTGACACCAACACCTCCCCGCAGAGCGGCGCGTCACCGGAGTCAAGGGCGTGACCTTCACCAACACCTCAGAACCCCGGGAGCCACTCTGGAATGCTGCCCATTATGTCATCCCACCCCGGAGAGAGAATGTCTGTTGTCCCCATCCTAATTGTGACCCCCCAAGCAGTGGCAGAAAACCTGTAGGAAAAGAAAAACAAAATCCAAATGCGCGCGCGCGCGTGCACACACACACACACACACACACACACAAAGGAGACTCTGATGGTATAAATTATATATATAATTTCTAGTTAGAAATTAGCCACATTAGCAGGTCAGATTCGAGAGCAAGAAAATCAGTTTTCAATAGCTGTCCTCTTAAGAGATGGTAACGTAGTCTCAAATTTTCTAGAACGACAGCAAGATGGTTTGAACGTCGTGGAGGGTTTTTTCTCTCATGTGTGTCGTTCAAAAGAAAACCACAGGCCCAAAATGGTGTCACTTAGATTATGGCCCCAAGTCAGTAAAACAAGATCTAATCCCTAACCTAACTGCAGTCGCAGCCTCCAAGAATGTGTAGCCTGTAACCAGTCAACGTAGAGTTTTCTGGTCACCACTAGGAATTTTCCTGATAGACCCCTTCCGTTCCCCTTAGCATGGACACCTTGCCTAAAACCACGGATTTCCTTGCTATTAATTTCCTTTTTTTTCCACTCCCTCTCTACCTTTAAAAGCCTTTCCTTTTCAATAGCCCTTTGGAACTCCTCTCTACGCTCAGTTCATGATTCGAATAATAAAGCCAGTTAGAGCTTTAAAGTGGACTTGGTAGAATTTCTGTTATTTAACACTGTTAAGCTCTAAGAGTGAGTCTTTGGGCAGACCGCATTTATTAATTACCCTGAATCTTTACAAAACCCCAAGCCGAGGGTGTGGGTAGGGGCTGCTGATGTTGGTGAGGTTATTTCTGTAACTGTCTAGAATGGTCCAAGAAGATTCTGGAAATCTATCTCCAGGTACGCTTTGTTTTGTTTTAAACAAGAAAGCTTTGCTGCTTCCTACATCAGCGTACTGAATATTCTGACAGGAAACATTTGAGTGCAGACACTTGGGGTTTTATATCTATATGAGATCTATGGAAAACAAATTTTTGCAGCCATAAACATGTTCACCTTGTCTCAGGAGGAGAGGAGCCGGAATGATCGAAGCACATTTGATTTCCAGAGTAATTTTCCGTCGGGTACTCCTCTTTTACAAGCATGACTCTGTGCTCACATGAGTTACACATTATGCTCTTAGAGTATTAGTCGTTTTAGAAGAAAACAAGGAAACTAGAACACTTATCTCAGAGACTCTTCTTTGAAACCCGGATGATTAGATCAAGCAATAAAGTTCTTCATAAATACTTCAGCTCAATCTTGGCATGCTTTTGCTTTAAGGAAGGGAGTTGTGTTGACATTTGGACGTGCTCCACCATTTTTGACATGAATCCCCAGATGAGTTCTTCCTGAAGATTCTCTGGCCTTTAACACTCTTTCCTAATGGTCATACTATTTACTATTAGCAACAGAAAAATATTTCTCTGCTAGTTTTCAACAGTTATCAGGTATAAAAAATTACATAAAAAGAAAATGGTTACTGAGCGGCTAAACGCGCGCCAAGTTACGTGTTTTATTTCACTAAATTCCCATGTGAGTCCCATGAGGGAGGTGGCCATTATTATCTTCATTCTATAGATGAGGAGCCAGACATAAAATGACTTGTGTAGATGCAAGGTCACACAGCTAGTAAGTGACGGAGACACTTAACCAAGTCGGCCCAAGGTTAGAGCCTGTATAAGACGGCCAGTGATATATTTATTTGTCCTGAGAAGGCAGCTGCCTAAATAAGAAACACTCGGGGGCGCCTGGGTGGCTCAGCCAGTCGAGCGTCCGACTCTTGATTTGGGCTCAGGTCATGGGTCTTGAGCCCTGCATGGGGCTCCAAACTGGCAGTGCGGACGGAGCCTGCTTGGGATTCTCTCTCTCTCTCCCTCTCTCTCTGCCCCTCCCCTGCTCACGCGCTGTCTCTCAAAAATAAATAAACTTGAAATAACATAAGGAAGAAACATTTTATTGCAAACTGTGGCCAAGTTGGCCTGGCAAACGGAAGCCGTTGGAGAATTTAAATCATTCACGTGAGCTTTTCACAGCATCTTAAGATTCATCTGCGCATTGATTCACCTAGGTGCTAGGCAACGGACGAGGCGCTAGGAACTTAGAAGTGAGTAAGTTTTGGCTGAGCTTCAAGTGGTTAGTCGGGGGGAGGCTGCTTTGCTCAGAGCAACGTGACTTGCGGAGTGAGGGTCTT